CCAATAAACAGGCCTGGAAACAAAGTCTCCTGACTGATTCTTTTAGAGACTGATGCTTCTTTATTTTTCAGCTCTTCTCTATTTTAATGAGTTTTTGGTTAATGATATTCAACTGACCTGGGCCATTCTGTCTGTCATATTTTTGTACTATGGAACTCAATCACTATTACCCAGAGTTTTTGGTGGTGGTGGTATTTGCTTTTAGAGACAGGGCCTTGGTGCTACCCAGGCTGGAGTGCAGTGGGGCAATCTTAGCTCACTGCAGCCTCAAACTTCTGGGCTCAAGTAATCCACCCACCTCAGCTTCCTGAGTAACTGAGATTAGAGGTGTGTACCACTGGGCCTGGATCATTTTTTTTTTTTTTTAATGTTTTGTAGAGACAAGATTTCACTATGTTGCCCAGGCTAGTTTTGAGCTCCTGGTTTCAAGTGATCCTCCCCATTTGACCTCAAAAAGTTCTGGATTATACATGTGGGGCACCCTGCCCGACCATCACCCAGAGTTTAAAGCCAGAGTTCTTCAAAACGGCTTGCGAGATCTCACATGATCTGTCTTTTTTCCATTTACTTTTCTCTTTGTTCATGTTTCTGCTGCCACACACGAGGCTTTATATTACTGTTCCTCCACTATACCAGATATGCTCCAACCCTCAGTATCTTTGAGGCTTCTGTTCACTGTGCTTGGAATTCTTTCTCTCAGGTGGCTTCTTCATCTGCTTCTAATCTTTGTGCAAATGTAACCTCAGTGAGACCCTATCTAAAAAGCACAAACCATCCTACATCATATATACTTCCTATCCCCTTTTCTTAGACTGTTTTTGTTACAACTTAGCACATAACTCTCTAGTATACTCTACAATTTATTATTAATTAAGGTATTGTCTGCCTTTTGTCATTATACTGTTAGTTCCAGTGACTGGTTCAATACATGGCTCAAAAAATGTTGAATGAAATAATTCATCAACAAAATTCAGTTGATTAAACAAAAATGTTAGTAAAATATGTATACTGCTGAGGTATTATGGGTTCGATTCCAGACCAATGCAATAAAGCAAGTTGCAGGATTTTTTTTTTGTTTCACAGTGCATATAAAAGTTTTGTTTACATTATACTATAGTCTATTAAGTGTGCAAAATGGCATTATATCTAAAAAGACAATGTATATATCTTATTTTAAAACTGCTTTATTGTTAGAAAATGCTAATGAACATTTGAGCCTTCAGTGAGTTGTAACCTATTTGCTGGTAGAGGGTCTCACCTTGATGTTGATGGCTGCTGACTGAATCAGGGTGATTACTGAAGATTGAGGTGGCTGTGGGTATTTCTTAAAATAAGGCAACAATGAAGTTTGCCACATTGACTCTTCCTTTCACCAAAGATTCCTCTGTAGCATGTGATGCTGTTTGATAGCATTTTCCCCACAGTAGATCTTCTTTCAAACTTAGGGTCAAACCCTGCCACTCCAGTAATGTTCTAAATGTTTTGTTGTCATTTCAACAACGTGCACAGCAATTCAGTCACATCTTTACACTCCACTTATAATTCTAGCTCTCTTGCTATTTACATCCAGTTACTTTCTCCACTGAAGTCTTGAACCCCTCAGAGTCATCCATAAGCGTTGGTATCGTTAACCAAATATCCTATTAATGTTGGTATTTCAACACTGAAAATCTGTTAATTAGTGTAGCCACTTTCATCAGTTATCTTAGCTAGATCTCTGGAAAATTTGCTGTACCTTCTCAACATCAGTACTTGCTGACTCACCTTGTATTTTTGTAGTAAGTAATTATGGTCTCACCTGTACAGCACTATTAAGATGGGGATGGCATCTTTCCTTAAACCTCCTGAACCAACCTCTGCCAGCTTCCTACTTTTCTTCCTTAGCTTCCTCACCCTCTTTTTCTCAGCTTTCATAGAATTAAAGAGAGTTAGGGCCTTGCTCTGCATTGGGCTTTAGCTTAAAGGAATGTTGTGATTGGCTGGATCTTCTATCCAGACCACTCAAAATTATCAGCTGTTTCACTTTCTTATCATTTAGGTGTTCACTGGAGTAGCGCTTTTAATTTCCTTCAAGCTTTTCCCTTGTATTCACAACTTGGGTTACTTACTGTTTGGTGTAGGAAGCCTACCTTCCCGCCTGTCTCAGCTTTCAACATGCCTTCCCCACCAAGACTAGTCATTTCCAGCTTTTGACTGAAAATGAGAGACATGCAACTTCTTTCACTTGAGCACCTAGGGGCCATTGTAGGGTTATGAATTGACCTCATTTCAATACTGCTGCATCTCAGGGAATAGGGGGGCCTGAGAAAAAGAGGGTAGTGGAAATAGATGGTCAGCGGAGCAGTCAGAATACACACATTCATGGATTATGCTTGCCATCCTTTTTTTGAGTGGTTCATAGTGCCTGAAAACAAGTACAATAGTAACATCAGAGATAACTTATCACAGATCAACATAACAGATATAGTAATATTGAAAACGAATTACTAAAGTGTGACATAGACTCGAAGTGAGCACATGCGGTTGGAAAAATGGTGCTGGTAGATTGGCTTGGTACAGGGTTGGAACAAACCTTCAATTTGCTAAAAAGGCAGCATATTTGCAAAGTACAATAAAGTAAAATACTATAAAACAAGGTATTCTTGTATTTGTTTTTAATTTATAAGTTTAACATTGAAAGTCCTTTTAATCAGGAGTATGCATTTGTTGATACCATGGAAATTTAATTCACCAAAATTTATTTATGAATAAAAGGTTTGAGTAATTTTACATATCTATTTACATAAAATCTGTCTTTTTTGGAAAAATGTGATTCTGTCTAAGAAGGATACCAATATATTAATAAATAGAGCAAGTTAGTGTTGACAAATATAGGATACCAGCTGAAATATAATTTATTTTAGATTTTTGAAGAATATTTTCCTTATGAAACCATCTTTTGAACATTGAGCTTAAAGTAGGTAGGGATTGATGTCACATATATATTTTAAAAAGGTAAATGATGAAATATTTAAAAATATATATTAAAATGCTATCATTCTAATCCTTTATATGATGAGTTTTAATTCCATATTCAATATTTGTGTTCAAATAGTAAAGTAAAAATTTTCTTATTGCATTTGCTTTTATTTAAACTTTTCTTTTTCTTTTTTGTAGATTTGCCTTGAGGTCACATTGATATGAGCTTTGGAGTCACCTTTCATAACTTCACCTGGGAAAGAGAGAGAAAACTTTCTTGTTAAAAAAATATAAGGAAAACAACCAACCAAAGGAATCATGCCAAATGCCAACTCTACATCTTTTTGTGTTATTAACATATATATTTTAATGCATTAAGACAAATGGCTTATACATTAAAGGAGATGATTTGTTCATCAGTATTTTTAGCCATTAAGAAAAATTGTTTTCATGTTGACCTTATACAGCTCTCATAAAATTTAACACATATAAACATCTTTAAGGCCTTGTTTAAAATAGCTTTCTTTTTTAGTGCTTAGAACTTCAATGTTTATGTGCCCTATTGTTACTTGTCAAAGTCTTCACGAGTTTGTAACATCAGGAAAGATATGGACATGGAAACTTACGTTATTAAAATAGACTGCAGTGGATTTAAGTGGACAATTCAAGACATCCATTTTATTATCTAAAATATTACATAAAAAGTGTACAGTTTTTAGCCTAAATGCAAACAAAGTTGCTTGAAAATGGCATGGGTAAAGTTCTTACGGAAACCTGGTGGCAACCTTGGAAAAGTTTATCAGCCTGGAAGCATGCTATCGCTAGCCCCTACCAAAGGCTTGTTAAATGAACCAGGACAAAACAGCTGCTTTCTTAATAGTGCCGTACAGGTGAGACCATAATTACTTCATTAAAAAAAAATACTTCTCAGAAAATCCTTTGTTTAATGATTCTTTAGCTCATAAATTAAAAATAAAATTATAAACTAGAATGACTTTTTAATATAACTTTTAATGGGAACAAAAATGTTTTGGCTGGTCATTTTGATTTTTATAATAAATGGAAATGGTTTCAACAGATTGATGTATCACTATGATATAAATAATCTTATTTAAAATGTTTATTTAGTAAATTAATATTTTTCTAACATACATAAACATTTTTGTTTTAATCAGCTAACACCCCTCCCTTTAAAAAAATTCAGTATATGGATATCTGTAGATAGAATAAAAAGACATAAGCTGCTTGGATTGAAATGAGAATGCAGAGTTTTTTTTTTATCTCAGTACTCAAACTTCCTTCACCTTTCACTGTGGTCCTTAAATTATCTCTGCAGAATCAGCATTTGGGCTACACTGTTTTGGGTAAATTGAAGGATAATCTGTTTTGCTTCAATTCTTGTTGAAAGTCTTTTAATTAACCTGCTTTTCTGCCTCAGATAATGATACACTTTCTTATGCATAATATAGTTTTTATTCAGCAGTCATAGATTTTGTAGGTCCTGTGTCCTTCTGACCATTGTAGAGCACTAAAGATGAGGATGATTTAGAATATTGATAATTTTTTCTATTGAGCTTAGAATATACCATGAAAGAATTCATATGTAATGATTCACTTTTCATATGTATTGTTTTTTCTTTTGAAAAATAATAGAGAAAAATATTGGTTGATTAGATCATTTGACAGATAAATGTAGAATGTATTAAGTGCACAGACATCTGACTCAGAGCTATGTTCTCAGTTACCCTTTACCCGAAACAGATGCCAAACTTGAACATTCTCTAACTCACCCAGGGAAAGAGAGGCAGTTGGTATTAAGAAAACATTCATGCTAATTTACTTTAGGATACTTAAATAGTAGTGTTCTGCCCTGGCTCAAAGATCCCACTGACATTACTGTCACAAATGCAGAAAAATATTTATTCAATGGCACTGGATATAGTGAAGTATTAGATACCAAAAGACCTGGAATTAAATGCTTTTGATTGAATCAGACTGTGAGAAAGGGTTTCTGGCATTTCAGATATTTTTTTGTTTACCCCTTTTTCTTTTTCACTTTTGTTTTCCCCTCTGTTTCTGTCCTTTTCATTGGCACCCAAAATACTATAGTTCAGGGAAACAAAACACAGAACAGGTGACAATTTTGAGTAAGGAAACTTAAATGGGTTAGAACATGGAGAAGTATTCCTATGGTGATATATTTTTTTTTCTTTAAATGAGCATTCCACTGACCTTTACCATGAAGACTATTTACTTATACTTATCTACCAAGTTGCCATTTCTGGTGCTCATCACTTTTTTGCATAGACCGCATTCCATCTGATATTCTTTTCTTTGGCTTGAAGGATTTTTCTTGTAATACAGGTTTATTGGTGATGAACTCTTTCACCTTTTGTATGCCTGAAAAAGATCTGCATTCCACTTTTGTTTTTGAAAGGTATTTTTATCTTGTTAAAGGGGTCTAAGTTGACATTTTTCTTTCAGTACTTTAAAGATTTTGCTTCTCAATGTTTTAGCTTGCATTATTCTAATGAAAAATCTAAGATTCTGATCTTTGTTTTTCTGTATGTAATTTGTTCTTTTTCTCTGACCGCTTTTAAGATTTTCTCCTTATCATTGGCTTAAAGCAATTTAATGATGTTTCCTGATGTAGGTTTCTCCATGTTTCTTTGTGTTTGGGTTTGTTGAGCATCTTGGATCTGTGGGTTTTGGATTTAAATCAAATTTGGAAATACTTTGTTGTGTCTTCAAATAATTTTTCTGTCTCTTCCCTCCTTTGGGGTTTTCCAGTTACATATGTAGTGGATTGCCTGAAGTTGTCCAGTTGTTCCAGATCTCACTGATGCTCTCTTTATTTTCTTTCTCAAGTCTTGTTTTCTCTTTGTGTTTTATTTTGTGTGGTTTCTATTAGTACATCTTCAAGTTCATTAATCTTTTCCTTTGCATTACCTATCTGCTATTAGTCCCATCCAGTGTACTTTTTGTCTTAGACATTGTAGTTTTCACTTTGAGAAGTTTGATTTTGGTCTTCTTAAAATCTCTTTCATGTTTTTGGATGTCAGACAAGTTTTACCTTGTCAGGTTATGGATATTTTTATATTCCTAAAAAAAATCTTGAACTTTGTTCTAGGACAGAGTTTATTTGGAAGCAATTTGATCATTTTACTTTTAAACTTTGTTAGGCGGGACAGAGCTGTGTTTATTCTTGAGTTAATTTTTCAGCTCTTGAGACTCTGTTTCTTCAACCATTGTTTTGTAAATTTTGAAGTTTTCTACTTTGGTTCAGGAATAGGCACTATCTTGGGCCTGTGTGAGCTCTGTGCACTATTCCCTCTAATCTTTTTGGGCGTTTCTTTCCCATGCCTCAGACAGTTTCCTCATAGTAAACATCCAAATACTGGAGTGGGGTCCTCTACTGATCCCTGATGTAACTCTGCAGTACTCTGCCCTGCCAACTCTAGCAGCTTTGGGGGATCTGCTGGCCTTTTGATGTCTGCCATATAAACTAACTCACAAAGCCAATTCTCCCTGACAAAACAACTATTCAAATGGAGTTTCTATTAGATAAGACCTGACTTTCTTTTTAAAAATTCAGAATACAAATGTTGATATGCAATTTGATGAATACTTTTTTAAACTGCTGAGAAATAAATTGTAGAATATGTCTTGTAAGAAATTACTAAACACAGACACTAAAGTGTTTGGGTCTAAGAAAAATGAATTTATATGCCATTTCTTATTAATATTTAAGCTATTTCTTACATTATTTTCAAGTAAAGAATGTATGATGAAGGGTTTGTATTTCTTTATATAATGTGCGTCTAGATATGTATTGATCTTTTAGGAATAATCATATAAGAAATATGTATAAATATTCAAAAATAAATCAGTTTTGTTAGGCACTGTTTTAATTGCTACATGCAAATAATGAAAAGGTGTATATTGCTAAAAACAAATTAGTTCAGCAACTAGCTTTAACCTTAATTTAAAAAAAATAAGTGCTAGAATATAGTCAACATTTTAAAATGAAATGGGACTGGGAATGGTGGCTTATACCTGCAATCCTAGCACTTTGGGACAAAAATACAAAAGTTAGCTGGGCATGGTGGCAGGTGCCTGTAGTTCTAGCTACTCAGGAAGCTGAGGCAGGAGAATTGCTTTGAACCCCGGAGGTGGAGGTTGCAGTGAGCCAAGATAGCACCACTGTACTCCAGCCTGGGCAACAGAGTGAGACTCCATCTAAAAAATAAATAAAACAAAATAAAATAAAATGGATGAGGATTAACTATAATTAGGATAATTATTTAGTGACAGGAATTTGTTAAAGTAGCCTCTGTACTATTATGTTAAAGACAGTAATGTACAGGAACTTTAAAGAAATAACATAAAACATTTTGTAGTTTGAGCCAGTGTAACTGAGAATTTTTGTAATCACAGAAAACATTTTGGTTACATTTGGAAGACTTCATTAACTTTATAAACAGATTTTAGAGGGTATTCTATTTTAGCTGAACATTTTAAACTTTTAACGCAAAAGCAGTACAATTAGGTATAATATAACATATTAGTGTGGTTTTAACGTCAGAGGTGCAAAGTTATAACATTTAATATTGTCATACTATTTAATAGCTCACATTTATTGTGTTCTTACTGCTTGTTGGAACATTACCTATGTTACCTAATTTAATCCTTACAACAGCCCTAAGAGGTGAGTACTACATTTATCTTTATTTTGCTGATGAGAAAACTGAGTCCCAGAAAATATTTTGCCGAAGTCAGTCCAGGAGTTGGTAAATGGGAAACCCAGAATTAGAAACCAGACACCTGCCTTCAGAGGTTATTTTATTAACCTCAGTGGTGTACTACTTTTAAAGTTGTGCGGGTCATTAATCATCTTCATTGTTGGTAAAACAGATTTCAGTGTATTTTTAAAAATATGTTAGGACATGATACTTAAGAAGGTTATTAAACATCATCAAGTGCTTTGTAAAAACTGAGTTATCTGTGACAGAAAAATTGATACTATTATGCTTTAAGAAAATGCAACTTTCAAAGAGAAATTCTGAAATGACCTTCAGTTATGGAGCAGTTGAAAATATAGGAAACATTAAAACCAGTTTGTTTTGATTAGCTTTTTGTTGTTATTTGGGAAGAAGGAGAGATCATGAATAGATTTTCTTAGTTACGTTATTTGAGGACGCAACTAAAAGATAGGAAAATATGAAGATCTTATTTGTTTGTTGTAATAGTAGCAACAGCCACAAATAGCAGCTGGTACTCATTGCATGACAGTTAAGTACCATACCCTGCTTTAAAAGCATTACATATTATTACATATTATTTAATCCTTACAGAAACTCTATGAGATACAAGTACTATTCTCATCCTCATTGTATAGAATTTAGGTTTTTCAGAATGATTTTAAGCACGGGACTGCTTTGTTTTTACAGTGGCAGTCTTTTTGGGTTTGCTTTGTCTTTGTCTTTTAGTAGCAGAAGGTAAATGGATAATTGCAGCAAGTACATATTTAGGTAATTTATTAATGGCTGCTTCTTACCATGCTGTAACCCCATTACCATATAGGTACCCCATTTCTTGTTCAGTGTACAGTGATGCCACACACCTCTGCTTACCCCTTTTTCTTGCCATAATGTGCAGACCCTAATTTAGTACACTCTGGCTTTAAAGTCTAATTATATTTCCTTTCAAAAATTCAATTTGTTCCAAGTATTATAATCACTTCCTCTTTCATGTCTCTGCCAGCTTCTCCATTTAGTTTTCCATGTTTCCTGTTCAGAACAAATCCTTAATGAGGAGTTAGTTTTTCCCTGCTCCATGCCTGTCATGGTTTTTCATGTGCACCAGTATCTTCTGAATCTAACATTTATGTATGTACAACATGCATGTAGCAATTTTATACTTCTTGTCATTCCCGGTGGTTATGTATGTCTGATTATGTACAGGAAATTAAAAGAAGCTACTTATTAGCCTTTTGCCATTTTTAAAATATCTAAATATGTCTTTTGTTACAGTAAGAAAAATCTCAGTGTGTTTTTTTCCTTCACATCTCGTTGTTTTTTAGGTTTTATGGCAATTGGATATATTCCGACGAAGCTTGCGGGTTTTGACTGGACATGTTTGCCAGGGAGATGCCTGTATATTTTGTGCATTGAAGGTAACCTTTTAATAGCTCTGAAAAATTACTATCAATTGTTCCCTCAAAAATTTAAGTTTGATAGTTGATATACGTGGTGAATTTAAGTTTGATAGTTGATGTATTTGGTCAATTTGTTGTAACTAAAGTTCACTGTCAGGTGATTAACAGTTTTGAAGGTAAATTCTTAAAGAATAAGTTATTCAGGGCCAGGCGCGGTGGCTCAAGCCTGTAATCCCAGCACTTTGGGAGGCCGAGGCGGGTGGATCACGAGGTCAAGAGATCGAGACCATCCTGGTCAATATGGTGAAACCCCGTCTCTACTAAAAATACAAAAAATTAGCTGGGCATGGTGGCGCGTGCCTGTAATCCCAGCTACTCAGGAGGCTGAGGCAGGAGAATTGCCTGAACCCAGGAGGCGGAGGTTGCGGTGAGCCGAGATCGTGCCATTGCACTCCAGCCTGGGTAGCATGAGTGAAACTCCGTCTAAAAAAAAAAAAAAAAAAAAAAAGAATAAGTTATTCAGGGTTGTGTTTTTATTTTCTTCTTTTATATGAGGACAGTTAAAAATTAATATTCTAAGTAGTATAAATTGTTAGGAACATTATCTTTTTCATTATTTTGAAATTATTCTTAATCATTTTAACAAATGTTTTTTGAGCTACTACTGAGTTCTGGGTACCAGTGTAGTTACTGAGGATACAGCAGTGAACAAAACGGCTAAAAATTTCCTGTTTCATATAGCTTGTATTCTTACAGAGGAGGAGACAATAAGAAAGCCAAATATTATAGAGTATGTTAGATGGTAATAATTATAACAATGGAAAAATACATCAGGTAAACAAAATAGGGAGTATTGTGTAGCCAGGAAAACTTCACAGAGAAACTGATATTTGAATCGAGACTTTGAAGAGCCTTCCAGGCAGACAAAGAAACAGCGACTGCAAAGGCCTTGAGGTGTGAGTATACCTGACATATTTAAGGACACCAAGGAAGTCTGGGTGGTAGGAGCTTTGTGAGCAAGGAAGAGACTGGTAGAAGATGAGCTCTGAGGTGAGGGTAGCTGAGGTGGCTTTAAAACATGTCTGCAGATTCTTTTGCATGCTTCCTTTTCCAAAATCGAATTCATTGAATGGCTGATTTCTGTCAAAAAAATCAGCCTTATGACTGATTTCTGTCAAAAACTTAGACTATGGCAGAACTGAGGCTGCAAGCAAGGTATCTGAGGTTAGGTTAGCTTAGAAAAGGCAATATAGCTCTCACCCAGCTCTGTCTCTTCAGTTGCTCATTCTTGGAAGTGAGCCACCATGATGAGGAAACCAGGTAGCCATGCAAAAAGACCACATGGAAGCATTCTGGACACAGCTAGAGCTGAGTTCCCAGCCCACAGCCAACATCAATCACCAGACGTGAAAGAGTGACCTTCAAATATTCCAGATCCCAGCATTCAAACTGCCCAAAATGACTTCAGGTGGAGCAGAGACATGCTGTTCCTACCCAAATTGCAGATTTGTGATCAAAATAAAAGTATTTTCTTAGTAACTACATTTTGGGGTGGTTTAGTTACAGGGCAGTAAATAACTGGATCAGGGGTTTAGATTGTGTAGCGCCTTATAGGCCTCTGTAAGGATCGTGGCTTTGTCTTTGAGTGATTTAGGGAGATTGGGGATTGTTTTGAGTGGAAGAGTGATACAGTCTGTTTTAACTAGCTGTAATGTTTGAACTAGATCCCTGTGGCTGCTCTGCTGAGGAAAATAGAAGGAAGGCAAAGAAACAGAGCATCCAGTATATATTAGCAACTCATTTGTGCCACTGAAAACTTTTGCCAGATCATTTAAGATTTTGTTACACATTTTAGAGATAAATGTTTCATTTTTTACATTCTTGAAAATATTCATAACACACACACACACATAGACACACAGAAATTAAAAAAAAATTTTTTTAAATTTCTTATTTATAAATTGTATTTTTTGCAGTAGTGAAACAGATTCTTGAAATGTTTTCCTTGTATGTTGATCTTAAAAATATTTTTTTTGAGATGACATAACCCCTTGAGCTAACATAGGACTGAATGTGACCAATACTTCTTGGTGGGGTGTCATTGAATACTTTTTTCCCTACTTTCTTCCATGTAAGATGATTGTCATAAAATTGGTATTTATTAAAATGTTTTTTTTCTTGCTTAAGCTTAGTAAGGAAAATTGAAAATCTAATAACTATAATCCCATGTTTACAGTTTCTTAGGTTTAGATTAGAAACTGAATGAAGTTTCCAGTTTCTTAAGTTTAGATTAGAAATACAGGTTGGTTATTCCTTGTCTGAAATGCTCAGGACCAGCAGTGTTTTGGATTTTAGTTTTTTTTTTGGATTTTGGAATATTTGCATTTATATATTTACTGATTGAGCATCAAATTTAAAAGCATTTTCTTTAAGCATTATGTCAGTGCTCAAAAAGTTTCAGATTTTGGAGCATTTTGGATTTCAGATTTTTGATTTGGGGATATTCAACCTGTAATATTCATTCAACCAGTTGAGAAAACTGATAACTTGGGGGTGGTAGGACCTTTTCTTAAAAGTTAAAAGTCATTATTATCTTTTTTCTGAATCTTCTTGTAAGCTGTACATTTGCATTTTTAAAAAGTAAGTTTAGTCAAATAATAGTGGGAAGTTGTCATTCTGTTAAAGTGTCTAATTTTTAAATCAAAATTTGTCATTTTCGGAGGTATTCTTAAGACCCTAGTAGAAAATTTTTTAGAAATTGTAAAGTTCTTTTAGGTTATTTTTTTTTTTTTTTTTAAGACTAGTGCATTCTAATTTTTTATGTGATTATATGTTTATTTTGTTCAGCATAATTCTAATTCCTATTGTATATTTTTAGATTTAAAGCAACTTAAATCTCAAAACTCTGTTCCTTAAACAACCTGCATCAGAATCATCTGGGGATTAATTTATAAATGAGCCTCACCTAAGACTTAGTCAGAATCTCTGAGAGTGGAACCTGGGAACCCTATATGTTGAATTCTTGTGTCCCCTAACATTTAATTTAGAGGCTGTTGTAAATATTTCCACACTTGATTATACAAATAATTGGTTTTTCATGAAATTTTAGAACAAAAGACTTCTGTATTATTTTCTAAGTATATATAGTGTTTTGAGTTTCTCTGTGTTATAATGAAATTACTGAAATATTTTTAAAGTTGGCATAAAACTTACTGATTTTCTTGTTGATTCCCAGACAATATTTGCACAGTTCCAACACAGTCGAGAAAAAGCACTTCCCTCAGATAACATAAGGCATGCTCTTGCAGAAAGCTTCAAAGATGAGCAGCGATTTCAACTTGGCCTTATGGATGATGCTGCAGAATGCTTTGTAAGTATTTCTGATATTCCTTAAGAAATCAGAATAGTCATTTTGATTCCTTAGATAGAACAAATGTTGAAACAAATGAAACAAAAATTTAGAACAATAGAAGACTGTCAGAACCGGCCAGCAGATCTGTATCTTACCCATCCTTCAAGCTCAACTTCAATCCATCTGTCTTTTGTGTTGTACTTTTGGTTTTGATGATTTGTGTTGCTCTAATTTTTATTCTTAGGCTACTAAAATATTTTAAAACTTAATTGGAGCAATAAGCTTTGCTGAATATAAATGATATCACTTAAATCAGTGTTCTGCCTCTACAGGGTTCACATATGTGGCACATTCCTAGCAGGAATATTTTTCATTACATGCAATGATTATCATTGAGAGAGAAGGGGATTTGGTGGGAAGTTAACAGGGGCAACAGTTCTGTTACCCACATTCCAGGTTGAGAATCACTGAGGGTGATGTTCTGAGGCTCTGTTACCACCATAGTAGTAAGTAGAGCATTCTTTTGATCAGGTACATATTTTATACATATAAAATATGTATGCTAATTATTAAATGTCTCAGTAATATTGATGTCACCTATAATTAAGTTGTAGCCATTTCTTCTCTCTTGTTCTTATTTCTAGTCAGCAAATTCTGTAAATTCTTTCATCATAACCCCTTTCAAAAGTTTTTTCTTTCCATATTCATTCCCTACCACAACTTCTTCCAGTTCAGCATATTTAAGCCTACTACTGGTGTGCATTCAGCCTGTTTATTTGTGGCCTATTTTTTTTAATAGCCGCCATGTTAATATAATTTTATTCAGGTTAATGCTTACTCTTCAAATATTTCCATGATTCAAATGTAGACTTTTTATTCTAATATTTAAGGCCCTTTATGATTAAACTCCACCTTCCCTTGGTGCTTCATCCCTGGATTTTTTTTCCTAGTGAGATTATTCCATTCAGTACCTCATGTTTATTTTTATATTCTTGCTTATATTTCTTATATGAAAGCCTGTTCTATTAGCAGCTTTTGCTCAAGTTCCTGAAATACTCAAAACTTTAAAAATCTATCATTTTGTCAAGGTTCAAACTAAGTCTATGCCTACCAGATAACATAGACTTATGTTTGGCTTGACCAAACCACCCAACCCATTCCCTCTAGAATTTACTATCAGTAGAATTCATTTGGCATTTGTATATTATTAATCACCTTTTTTTAAAGAAGCATCTTCATGGTTTCCTTAGATGAAAAGCTCATTGACCAGCACCTGGCCTAGCACACTTGCATGTTGATTAAAATGTGAATATTGCCACACACAGTAATGAAATATAATTTCCATGTTTCTTCTGTTTATAATTGATTTTTCACTTAAAAAATTTATTTTGAACAATGCTAAACTCTGTAGTTTTACTTTCACTTAAATGAATTGTTCTAATACATGATGTGATAATTCACACAATGTCTAGAAATCTAGGCTTAAATTATTAAATGGTTTTAAATATCCTGGCGCAGAGGAGAGGGAAGTTAGCTAATTAATAGAATTCATTGGTTAAGCTTCGGTAAAAAGAATTCTGTTAAAGAAATAACTACCCCTTATTGATCTATATTGTAAATCAACATTTATATGAAATTCATTGCAGAGTACATTGTCTCCATTATGGTGTTAGTGTAGATATAGAGCCTTTATTTTGCTGTTATTTATACAGACTGCCTAGATGATTCAAATAGGATTTTTTTTAAGCTGATTTTTCTTAATTTGAGAATATTGGGAACACAGGAAACTATTTTCTAACATTAAATTCTAGATGTCAGTCACCATGGGTTGATTTTTAGAAGGATTAAAAATAAATTTATTAAAGATCATTTTATATTACAACGCTTCTTTCATAAAACAACATTTAATTTAAGCTAGTGCTATAAAAGGTGAATAATTGAACATTCAATTAAAGTATTGATTAGAGAGGAAAGCTGAAAAGCTAGCAATATGTATGACACTTTTAAATTTACACTTTGGAAAATCTTCAAGTAAAGAGTTCTATTTTGATGTGTTCCCTGCAAGATCAATAACTCATTTATCTATTTTATTTTTAAATTAGGAAAATATATTGGAGAGGATTCATTTTCACATAGTGCCAAGCAGAGATGCAGACATGTGTACCTCTAAATCTTGTATCACTCACCAGAAGTTTGCCATGACTCTGTATGAACAGGTGAGATGGCTTAGTTATTTTTTAGACATTATAGTTCTGTTTTATGACTGATAGATTAAACATATGTTTTTACCTATATAGTGTGTGTGTCGTAGCTGTGGAGCATCATCAGATCCTCTACCTTTTACAGAATTTGTGCGGTACATTTCTACAACAGCCTTATGGTAAGAACCTGTTAAAACATGCTTACCAAAGATGTAATAACATATTTAAGCAGATCGAGTACTTATTTTATAAAACTGTAGCATACATGAATTTCCTCTCTCTGTCTAAGGCTACCAAATATGCTGCTGTGAGATATATACAGTGATGTCTATCTCAATTGGATGTTTGTAATGTAGCCAATATATGTGTTACTTAGTGAAGTGTACATAATGCTAGTTAAAATTTTTATCTATTTATAACAAATTTTAGAACTGTGAAAGGAAGCATAACATGATAAACTGAATGTTAAAGGGAACTATACATGGTTTCTTCATTTATGAGATGTTCTATTTGTAATGGCCATATTTTCTGTCAGCTCCACTATGTCCCTTTCTGGTGATAAAAGCTAGGGTAAGAGAGAAGAAAGAAAAATGTAAGCATAATTCTCAGATTATTGTATTTGAGGCCTCAACATTCACCTTAAATAAAAATTTGCTTGCCTGCTCACCTGCTCACTCACTTTCTCCCTTTTTGTCCATGAAAGATTAGCCAGTTAAGGATCTAAAAGTTATCTCTAGACCTTACATAATGATCTTTGAATACTTTCCAACAGGTATTTGAAAGTATAAATATTTGGCATGTGGTAAACATTGAGTAAGATCATAAACATTTGCATACATTTTAATACAAAAGACATAATGTGGATCAATAATCATCAGTCAGAATATGTTAGTGCAACAGTTAGTTGATAAATGCTGCCAATATTTATGTCAGTGTGCAAAGTGAATGTTGTGTTCATCCATTTCATATTCATCTTCCTGTCTTTACTGGGTATAAAACGTTTCATAATGATTATTGAATAATAATTTGGTTATTTGGATGTGTTTACTATCTTTCTTATGTTTACAGACAACTAAAAAACATTGATTTAGAGAAACATTCCTAAATTTCAGTCAAATTGCAGTCATTTAAAAAAATTTCTATGAAAAGCAGGATGGGGTTTGAACAAAGATAGGCAATAAGTTAAAAACTAAATTTTTAATTCTACTTTAAAACTCTTGAATGAAATGACAGTGTTCTGAGGCAGAACGTTAGATAATAAGAATTAGATTCACATTATTCTCTGCTTAGTAAACATTGTAAGTTGTAGGAGTGTACACTGAATTCTAATTATAATATCCTTATTTGTATTCGTAATAAGTGTTGAATACCAGTTATTGAATGCTTACCATGTTCCAGACTTTATGTAAATTGCCACTTTTAATCTTAACCAAAATTCTATTTTGTTGATGAAGAAATAGGTTTAATGAGATTAATTTAGTAAGTAGATGAATTAAGATTGAAACCCAGATCTGTCTGACTTCAAAATTTGTTTGGCTAACCACTACTCTAATGCTGTCAGTTTTGTAAGACCAGTATATGCAATTTGAATGAGCTTATCAGATTTTGGGCTTTCTAGTGTACTCGTGAAGTGTTTTGGAGAGGTACATTTAGTTGCTACCAAATACTTATAGATTATTTAAACTATTGAACTGTAAAATATATCCAGCTCTAGAATAGTTACATTACTGTTAAGTACGACCAGAGTAGCTAGAATGGAAACTAGTAAGTGTTTCAACTTACATTACGTTCCTTTTTGGAAATGTTTAAATCGTTGTTTAAGTATTAGTCTGTTCTCACGCTGCTAATAAAGACATACTCAAGACTGGGCAATTTATAAAGTAAAGAGGTTTAATTGATTCACAGTTCCATGTGGATCATGGCAGAAGGTAAGGAGGAGCAAAGTCACATCTTACATGGTGGCAGGCAAGGGAAGATGAGAGCCAAATGAAAGGGTTTTCCCCTTATGAAACCATCAGATCTTGTGAGACTTATTCACTACCACCAGAGCAGTATGGGAGAACAGCCCCCATAATTCAATTGCCTCTAACTAGGCCCCTCCCACAACACGAGAATTATGGGAGCTACAATTCAAGATGAGATTTGGGTAGGGACACAGCCAAGCCATATTAGTTACTTAATGCCCTATATGTAAAATATGTCTTTTAAGGAGGTTGAATAAAAAAGTATCACAGTTACCCTGTAGTGTATTAAAAGACCTGCCTGGGCTCTAATAAAATGATTAGTATTCTGGCTGGGCGCAGTGGCTCATGCCTATAATCCCAGCACTTTGGGAGGTCAAGGCAGGTGGAGCTCCTCACCTGAGGTCAGGAGTTCAAGACCAGCCTGGGCAACATCGTGAAACTCCATCTCTACTAAAAATACAAAAGTTAGCCAGGTGTGGTGGCACGTGCCTGTAATCCCAGCTCCTCTGGAGGCTGAGGCATGAGAATCACTTGAAGCAGGAGGCAGAGGTTGCAGTGAGTTGAGATTGTACCATTGCATTCCAGCCTGGGCGATAGAGCAAGACCCCATCTCAAAAAAAAGAGTAGTATTCATAATAAAAACAAAAGGCGTAAGTCTGGCTTTAAAAACTTGGCTTGTGACTTCTGCATTTAATCAGCAAAGGACCTTCTCCTAGCTGAAATTGGTAATTTTGCTTCTAGGAACTTTGGGCCAGAGAGCGAGCCTTTCCTACAGTTTTGTTCTTGTTAGGGTATGGTTTAAACTTCAGTTTCTACTTATTAATCAATAATACAAAAGAAACATTTGCTTTAGAACTACCTTCAGACAGAGCATCTTAGCCTCATTCATCTAGTTCCAAACAAAAGTATAATTTTGTCACTTTGTTGTCTTTATTTGAGCTAAGTGTTTTCATCATATACTTGCCAAATTTAATAATTTTTCACTTTATGGAAAGGTACTTTATGGTTAATTTTAAAGTCATGGTCATGTCTTAGAAAAAATGACGCATGTCTAAACTGACAATATTTTTCGTATGTAGTTTATTAAAGTTTTAAGTTCATAGGCCAGATTTGGGATTGTTTCTTTTTTCATAGCAATGAAGTTGAAAGAATGTTGGAAAGGCATGAACGCTTTAAACCTGAAATGTTTGCAGAATTGCTACAAGCAGCAAATACAATGGATGACTATAGGAAATGTCCTGTAAGTATAATTTGGAGAATATTAGATGCTTCTGGTTTTGTAAATTTGAAAATAGACATTCAGATATTATCATGTAAATATTGATTTCTTTAAACACTCTAAAGTTTGTGAAGGTTTTAAGGTAGCATATGTTAATTGTTTTCAGAGTTCTGAAATGTATCATTTGATTAAAGAGAAAGTTTCTTTTTTTCAGTAATTTGATGAATGATACTCTTTTCTCATCTAATATTGTTAATGACTCAAGGGTTTTATTTCTGCTTTTAAGGTTGAATTTGTTTTTTTAACAGATTTACACAAATATCAAAGAATACTTTTATTTAAAATAAACTTCTTGTTTAATCAATAATTAAGACAGCTTGTGAGAAGTCAATTTTTAGTATACTGAATAAATTGCAGATATGTGTTAAAATTGTTATATAATATATAATTATTAAACTGTGTAAGGCTTTGCATATGATTTATCTGTTTTCATAATTTTAAAATTTGACTTTTGTGTTTTTCTGTAGAGTAACTGTGGCCAAAAAATAAAAATTCGCCGTGTTTTAATGAATTGCCCAGAGATTGTTACAATTGGTTTAGTCTGGGACTCTGAGCATTCTGACTTGACCGAAGATGTTGTACGGAATCTAGCAACACATCTTTATCTTCCTGGGGTATCTTAACTATTTTCATTCCTCTCTTTTTTATTTTCATATTCTTCTAAAACATCTTGATATATATTATGATACACTTATTTTGATTTCAAAACTAATTTTTTTTTCTGAAGAAAATAATACTATTCTGATGTTTTATCTGATAAAGACAAGTTTAATCAAATCAGGCTAACTGGAATGTCTTTTTTACAAAAGCTAGGAATGGCTTTCAATTATAAACTAAACTGTCTTATGACTTTTGCTTCTTTCAATCTAAAATGATGATGATAGATGATTTTTTATATATGGCCATGATTATAAATATAAATATTGTTAACTTAGAAAGGTTTTAAGATTTAAAATTCATCTAAAGCACTGAAGTCTCTCTCTCTCTCTCTCTCTCTTTTTAATTTTTTGACACAGTCTTGCTGTGTTGCCCAGGCTGCAGTGCATTGGCACAATCTTGGCTCACTACAACCTCCACCTCCCAGACTCAAGCAATTCTCATGCTTTAATCTCCCAAGTAACTGGGATTACAGCCATGCACCACCACACTCAGCTAATTTTTTGTGTTTTTAGAAGAGAGGAGTTTCACTATGTTAGCCAGGCTGGTCTCAAACTCCTGGCTTCAAGTTGATCCACCTGTCTTTGCTTTCCAAAGTGCTGGGATTAAAGGTGTGAGCCACCATGCCTGGCCATGATCTCTTGATATGCTTGTAACTTTCTTAATATATTTTGAATTGTTACAATTAAAGTTTTAGATAAATATCTTTTAGATATTTTTAATGAACATTGGAATATGTGATTCAAAAATTACCAGAAATGTGGAATTTATCTCATATTTTGAATTTCTTTATGAAAAGTTTCAGTCATGTATCATTAGAGATACTCTATTACTAATTAGTAGTGAATTTGTTTTATTGGTCTTAATGTTTCTATGAACAAATTAAAAGTAGCAATTATGTTAACAGTGTGATCTCAGTGGTACCTTTGAGTAACAATATCATAATATTGGAGTGGGGCAGTATGCATGAGAAATATTTCATGAGTCAAATACATGATTAATCTAATTATTCCTCATTTTAAAAAAGATATAGTGTTAAGTATACATTACTAATTTTTTAAACAGCTTTTTTATAGGGTTACTGATGAAAATGCCAAAAATAGTGAACTTCTCCTTGTTGGTATGATCTGCTACACCAGCCGACATTATTGTGCCTTTGCATTTCACACCAAAAGTTCCAAATGGGTTTTTTTTGATGATGCAAATGTGAAAGAGGTAAGTGACACTTTCTTTAACTGAAATAATTACTGTGATTTTTACTTTTTGGTAATAAATAATATGTTGATATTAATACTCAAAAGGATGATATAATTATTATGCAAAATAGTAATAAATGAACATAATGATGCTGGCATCATCAAGTTCAAACTTTCTTTTTTTACTCTTGAAACTGGCTTATTTTGAAGCCAACTTTTAAATTAGTCCATTTCCAGAATAATAATAAACTGACTAATGAATGTTAGTATACAAATATGTAACTATCAGTGATCTGTGTGTCAGAGATTATCCTTTTTGCCTAATGCATAGTTGCTATATTTTTTTTGTAGATTATTCACAGTAGTTTTGTATAACTAGTGATAAAAATGTTCTTGTCTTTTTATTATGACAATTTTTTTCAAATTTTGTGTGTGGCATAGAAGGATAGATATATCAGTTACATCTTTTGGTAATTATAGTAGACCCTTAAACAACGTAGGCATGCCAAAGCCCCTGTGCAGTTGAAAACCCACAACCAACTTTCAACTCCCTCAAAACTTAACTGCCCACAGCCTACTATTGATAGGCAGCCTTACCAAAAACATAGTCAATTAACACTTATTCTTTATGTTATATGTACTTTATACTGTACTCTTACAGTAAAGTAAGCTAGAGAAAAAAGTGTTACTTAGAAAATTATAAGCAAAAGAAAATATATTTACTACTTACTAAGTGGAAGTGGATCATCATAAAGGTCCTCATCCTTCTTGCTGTCTTCATGTTGAGTAGGCTGAAGAGGAAGAGGAAAAGGAAGGTTGGTTTTGCTGTCTTGGTGGCAGAGGCAGAAGAAAATCCACATATAAGTGAACCTATGCAGTTCAAACCCGTGTTGTTCAAGGGCCAACTATAATTTATTTACTCAAATTGTAATAATATTGTCTAGAAAAGTAGTGAATAATGGTTCTTAATAAGGAATATCAGAACCACATAAGGAGCTTTTAAAAAAACATATGCCTGGACTCCTAAAGTTTTGATTTAATGGTGTAAAGGCAGGTATCTGAAATTTTAAGTTTTACAGGAGATTCAGACATAAGCTACGTTGAAAATTGTTGGTCTTGGCACTACTGTTCTCTGGCTTATAAGCTTTGGCAATCTTTATTAAGTAGTAAACTGATTTTAAAATACAAGTTCTTTGGTTGTTATAAGCAAATAATGTAGAATTCTGTTTAGTTTCATTTTAATATACAACCAAAGGCCATTTATCAGCACTGTGATTAATACATACAAGTTCAAATATTTGGCATTTAGTGGACTTCTAATTCTACCCATGAAGGATTAACTGCTGTAGAAATAGCCATTTCGCTGTTTAAAACTAAGACATAGGTGAAACAACTCTTTTTAGACATTGAACAACATGCAGTTGAACAAAGAAAAGGGAAACAAATGAGGTCAGCTCTATAATTACCCCTGCTTACTGCCTAGAGGTAGTTTCTGGGTTGCAATGCAGGCAATGGGAGCCCAAACAAAGCCCAGTAGTGTTACTGAGTTCTGGAGACTGAAATTGAAGTTCAGGGAGGCCTAGATGGCTAAAATTTGCAGGACAGAATATCAGAAAGAAAACTGCACAGGGAGAAAGTTCTGGAAATTGACGTAGGGGTTCCCTGGAAATTTTGGCTAAATTGTGATCTGTGTATGTGAGGAGTGAACCCACACAAGTTTGGGGCTAGTTCAGAGAGATGGGAGGCCTCACTGGAAAACAAAATGTAAAACAGTTTTCCAAAATCATGCAAGGTTAGTGATAGTTTGTATCCCCACCATAAAGAGTGGAGAGATGATATAACATATAGGCATTTGCTAGAATTTTCAGAAAAGTATTACCTTGATAATGGGGCTAAATTATTTCTAGGCTGAAGGTTGTTCTGTACCTGACATTAAAAAGCTTAAAACAACGTCAGGCACGGTGGCTCATGCCTATAATCCGAGCACTTTGGGAGGCTTAGGTGGGCAGATCATGAGGTTGAGATCGAGACCATCTTGGCCAACATAGTGAAACCCTGTCTCTACTAAAAATACAAAAATTAGCTGGGTGTGGTGACGTGTGCCTGTAGTCCCAGCTACTTGGGAGGCTGAGGTAGGAGAATCGCTTGAACCCAGGGAGATAGAGGTTGCAGTGAACTGAGATCACACTACTGCACTCCAGCCTGACGACAGAGTGAGACTCTGTCTCAAAAACAAAACAAAACAAAAAAAAACCTTAAAATAAAGCCTTGAAAGGACAAAGCTAATTCTACTTTTCAAATAGCACAACAAAATTCAAGCCTACAAAGTTCAATGGAATTTCAATATGCCACTTCAAAATGGCATTCAATAAAAAGTTACCAAATATGCAAAGAACCTGAAGAAAAATTAATAAAAACAGATCGGAAATGACTGAGATGGGAATATCAGGGAAGGATAGTAAAACTATTATTTATATGTAGGGATTTCTTAGATAACATTTAATAAGCATGAACCTTAAAATTAGTTGATAAATTAGACTTCATCGAAAGTTAAAATTTTTGTTCTTTGGTAAGAATGAAATGACAAACCATAAACTGGGAGAAAATATTTGTGAAACATGTATCTAATAAAGGCTATATCCAGAATATTGAAAGAACTCTTAAAACCCAATAAAAAATTATCAAGAATTGTTGATAGTTCACCAGTGAAAATATATGAATGGCCTTTGAAATGATATTCAGTACATCATTAGCCACAAAGGAAATACAAATTTAATTCATAATGAGATTCCATTACTTACCTGTTGTAATGACCAAAATTAAAAAGACTGACCATACCAATAGTGGTGAGGATGAGAACAGCTAGATCTCTCACATGAGGCTGATGGAACTACACAATTGAAAGTTCACTTACAAAACTGTCAGTTTCTTATAAATTTAATCATATATTTATCATATAACCCAGCAAATCCACTCCTGTGAAAACATAAGTCCACATATAACGTGTACTTGAATGTTCTTGGTGGTTTTCTTCATAGTAGCCCAAACTAGAAATGACTCAAATGTCAACAATAGGTGAATGGATGAACAAATCGTGGTATAGCTATACAGTGGAATATAATACTCAGCAAGAAGGACTGAACTATTGATGCATGCAATAATATGAACAAATCTCAGAAGCATTATGCTAAGTGAAAGAAGTGAGATATAAATGACTACATGCTATGATTCCATTTATATGAAATTTCTAGAAGGAAAAACAAAGGTGTAGAAAGTAGATCATTTTCAGGGACTGCAAACTGGGGTGTAAGGTAAGGTTTGGGGGTGAGGATTACATGATTATGTTATCAAAACTCACTGACTTGTACACTATAACTAGATAATTTTACTTCATATACTATACCTAAATAAAGCTATTAAAAATTTTTGGTATTTATGTTCTAAAATCAGCACTTCGCTTAAATTACTTAGTACTTTTTTTTGTAGGAGTTTATTAAGTTTCATCTTGAGTCAATGTGTAACAACATTTTGCAGTTTCTACTTTGCTTTTACATAGTTTAAGTTGTCAAAATTTGGAGGAAGAACTGGGTAATCACCCTGTGAAGTTTTTTGTTATTTTATTTTCACATTGACTCCTCAAAGCCTGGCCAACATGGTGAAACCCTATCTAAAAACACAAAAATTAGCCAGGTGTGGTGGCACATGCCTGTAATCCGAGCTACTCAAGAGGGCAGAGGCATGAGAATCTCTTGAACCTGGGAGACAGGTTGCAGTGAGCTGAGACCATGCCACTGAACTCCAGCCTGGGCGACAGAGTGAGACTTTTTCTCAAAAACAAAACAAAACAAATGGACTCCTCAAGTCCAGTGAGGAGAATCAACAGCAGAATATGTGTAGTTTGAAAAAGCTCATGAGAATTTTTCTTAAAAGTCCCCTTCACTGCAAAAATATTCTAGAATGCTTTGTGGTGTTTTTGTTTGGTTGGTTTTGCTTTGCTTTTAAATCAACTTTATAGAGGTATAGTGCACAAACATTAAAATACATCCATTTTAAGTGTCCAGTTGGAGTTTTGATAAATGTATTCACCTATGTAACCACCATAATCAGTACACAGAACATGTTCATCACCCTAGAAAAATTCTATCAGTTTTCTTTGTTGTCATACTCTCTACACCACTCCAGGCCTAGGAAATCACCGGTCTCATTATAGATTAGTTTCACTCATTCTACAATTTTATATAAATGGTCTCTTACAGTATGTACTACTCTGTGTCTGCCTCCCTTCCTTCAGCATAATGTCTTTAAGATTCATTCATGTTGTTTGGATCCATGCTGTATTTTTATTGTGTATTTTATGGCTGTACAACAATTGATCCATTTACCTATTGAAGTATGAATAAGCTGTTTGTGAACATATTTTTTTCCATTGCTCTTAGATAATACCTAGAAGTGGGATTTCTGGGTTGTATGGTAAGTGTCTGCTAAACTTTACAAGAAACTATCAAACTGATTTCCAAAGTAGTTTTACCAGTTTGCATTCTATGATAGCAATGTATGAGAGTTCCTGTTGTTCCACATTCTCAGCAGCACTTCTGTTGGTGTTCTTTTTAACATTAGCCCTCCTAGTATATGTATAATAGTATCTCACTGTGGTTTTCACTTGCATGTCCCTTGTGATTGGTAATATTTTGAGCATCTCTTCATGTGCTTGTTGACCATTCTTACATCTTTCTCGTGGTGGAATGTCCAAATTTTTGGCCAGTATTTCATATTGGATTATCTTCTTATTAATGTATTGTAGGAATTCTTTATTCTGCATTCCTTTATTACATGTATGTTGCTTACTTTTTCGATTTCTTAATGGTGTCTTTCCAAGAGCAAAAGTTATTAATTAATTTTGATTAAGTCCATTTTAAAAATATTTCTCTTCTATGGTTTGGTATGCTGAGAAATCTGCCCTTTCCCAAAGTTGTAAAGATTTTCTCTTTTGTTTTCTTCTGTAAGTTTTGTAGTTTTTGTATGAGCCATTCTGAGTTAATTTTTTTTGTCGTTTTATAGGAAATCAAGTCAAAGTTCTTTTTCTCATGGTAAAAATTCTTTTTCTCCAGTTGTAGCACCATTTGTTGAGCCAGCTCTTATATTTTTCCATTGAATTGCCTTGAAATCTTTGTCAGATGTCGGTCAACCACATATTTGGAAAGCTTTTTAAAATTTAATCACCTTGAAGTTGATGATCTTTGTCCGTCAAAAATTTAAATGATAATGTTTAAAAGATTTTTATTTAGACTAGCTACTAAATACTGTTAATATATATTATGATACATACTTGAACTACTAGCATCTGCATATCTAAATTTTTAAAAACTATAAAGTAATTTTTTAAAAATATAAAGTAATTCAGAGTCTCTGCCTTTTCATGTAACACATTGATTACAAGGTTTTGTTTTGTTTTTATTCATTGTGGTTTTTTAAAAGATTGGAACTAGATGGAAAGATGTTGTCTCCAAATGCATTCGATGCCACTTTCAGCCACTACTTTTGTTTTACGCAAACCCAGATGGCACAGCAGTTTCTACTGAGGATGCACTCAGGCAGGTCATCAACTGGTCACATTATAAATCTGTTGCAGAAAATATGGGTAATTCTTTCTTTTTAAATTTTTCAATGTTTTTCTATTATCACAGTCAACTAGGAATATTAATACTCTGATTATAAAATGAATATTTAGTATAACTTCAAATTTGATTTTCAGCAGAGTTCAAGAAA